GGGGGGGGGGGGGGGGGGGGGGGGGGGGGGGGGGGGGGGGGGGGGGGGGGGGGGGGGGGGGGGGGGGGGGGGGGGGGGGGGGGGGGGGGGGGGGGGAGGCGTGACTCCTACGCTTCTATATGTGTTTCTCGTCGGTACGCAATTACGTTGCTGTCCATGTCGCGTAGGCAAGCCCAACAAGCTTCGCTTCGCTACTTGTTGCTTCTCTCGACCTGGCCCTCCGACCGTCGTAAACCACCGAGGGCATCAACGGCGCAGACTTGACAATACCCCACAGCAAGCGAACAAGTCACCGAGGCAAGACAAGAACAACTGGCGTCCAAGACTTGCATGACATTGTTCTGCATGTGCTGTGCCACGCATACAGCTATGCCTCGCTGCCTCTGTTTGTCTCTCTTAGATCCTGTCTCTCTGTCTCTGTCTCTGTCTCTGTTTCTCTCTTTCTTGCTTCTCGCATGTGTTGTTTCCTGCATCTTCCTCATCCCCGAACTCGTTCTCTCAAACACAATAACTCGCTCTCCCCTCCCTTTCACTCTCTTTCAATAACCGACCTTCCCCCCTCATCGCCCTTACACCGAAAAGACAGGTTTGTCTCACCTTCTGGCCGCCGCCGAAGCGGCCGTTGAAAGCGCGGCTAAGGACGCACTCCAAGGCCCACACGAGGTCGTCCCTCGTCACCGCACGCCCGGCCCCCTCCGGACATCGCGCCACCAGATCCTCATGCAGCTTGTCCCACGCGGCGCGTTGCCTCTTGGCGGAGGCCGCGCACCTCGAATACTTGAGGGTATCTAGTTCCTACGAGGGCGGCGGGGGGGGCGAGGGAGGTGCTCAATGACAAACGGTACCATGCCGTAGTCGTCAGACCATTGACCTCGCATCCCTATAATGCCGGGACGGACCGATATGCCCGGTTTTCGCCGGCCCAGGCCACGTTCCATAAGGATGAACCCAAAGCGTGTGTGTGGGGGGTGTTTGTTGCGTTTTTCTGTTGTGATAGATCACACACGTGTTCGGCGAAAGCAAAGACGGAGAGAAGTTCATGCAACGCGCGTTTTTCATCGCGGCCATGGCAAACCCTGCTGTCTCACGTTTCTTCGCGTGGACCAACTACGGGCGCCAGCAGGAGTCGACACCTTCCCATGCACGCTCGGCTTGAACGCACCCGGTCCGTCAGTTAAAGAGAGCAAAAAAGAACCCGCAGAGAAGCAGCACACAAGCCGGTCGTACCGGGATGACAAACAACAGCACCTCGCAAGAGTCTAAACGACTGCCGACCGCTGCATGGAGATAAACCCCACAATAATCCTCGACTATGCAATACCCCGACTGTTCCCCACTTCCCCGACCGACCGACAGACCGACTGACCTGGTCCGTCCAGTGTATGAGCGTTTCGAAACTCCCCTGCACCGGCAGCACGTTGACGTAGCCCTCGACGGCAGACGCGGCCCCGAGCTGTCGTTCCCACAGCAGCTTCAGCGCCAGCTTCACGTACCACTGTTGGCTGATTTCGCGAGAATTCATGAAGAGGTGCGGCGAAGCGAAAAGGAGTTGTTCGGCCGGCCGTTCGGCACTTGCCGCAAGGTGTGCAGCACAAAGCAGCGACGGCGAGACTACGATAGGTTGCATAAGTCATCACACACCGCCTGGACCGATTTCCAAAACTCGATTACTCGGAGGCACCAAAAGCAGTGGCGTAGCCGAGAATGCCGGCGTTGGAACCGTCTCGTCCAAAGTTTTTCCGAAAAAGTATCATTTGATTTCGGCATCCTCTTCGTCGTGGAGTAATCGAGCTTTGAAAAGTGGTCCAAGGGGTGTGGTATCTTAAGCAACCTATGTACGGCACCAGCAAACTCCCGACAGCTTTTCGGCAGCAACACCATCAACACCACCAACAAATGCAAGCGCACCAGCGCGAATCACCACGGGGCCGAGTTAGACTCCATGGACAGCTGGGGTGCATGTGTCCCGCACGTCTCGAGAGAGGTTGTTGGCGTACATGGCATACATACCTGTCCCAGAACTCGGGCGAGACCCAGGACCTGAAGGGCGTCGACTCGGACGCGGTGAGAGAGATGGCCGCCTTGGCCGGAACAGTCACAAGCTGCTCAGACTTGGACGTTGCTTCCACCGCCTTGAGCCCCCTGTTTTCCGGTGCGTAGAAAGAATACGGCCCACGGAGGAACTTTCAGCGCAGCCCCAGTAGTATGTAGGAAGATGACTATTGAAAGCACGACCAAACAGGTTGGTTTGCTGGGTTCTTCGATGCGTGACTTCGTGGACCGTGATGGTTTACCCATGTTTGGGTGCGTGGCATTGGTTCAGCCACTGTCCAGCCCCATGCATCGTGCTGGAGCGACGAGAAAGTGATTTAGTCTATGTACACGCAGCGCGGATAGTACCGGTAGCACGATGAAACCACAACGCCGGATAGCAACAAAGCAGGGCACAACCACAGCGGGTGCGCCACAGGCAAAACAACTCGGTCCGCTCTTGCTCTGAAGCGGCACACCACAAAAGATTGTAGCGCACGGCCAACGCGGTGTGAACAAAACTTATTCGTTAAGGTCCCAATTCCCAACAACGAACAACGAGGCCTACCGCCCAAACGGATCGCTGGTGTGTAGACTTTGTATCTCACCGAAGGTCTCCTACTAGACCGTCGGCGAAGACTTCGTGTCTCAGCTTGGGCGCCCTTATGCCCGCTTGGGCGGCCCACCGCTCGAACCTGTCCTCCCCCCTTCGCTCGCCGCTCTTCTCCGACGAGGTGCTCCTGCTGTCTTCTGCAACCGCCTCGGCCTTCAGACGTGACTGGGGGGGTGCACACGGCACAGTTGTGCATACTTGTAGCAGGTGTCACGTTGTTCATGATCGACTCAGTGCCGAGTTGCGGACAGCAGTTGTAGTTGGTGCTGAAGAGCAACTGAAAACAACGTGTACATATCGCAGCTTCTGCTACAACTATTATCGTCGCCCATTCCAGCAAGAAGTGGTAATCAAGGACGTACCGCGAAACAACGGTGTGCAACAGCAGCAGCAGCAGTACTTACCTCCGCTGGCGGACGTGCACTTCCGATACATGTGTTGCGACGCGCATATGGCCGGCGGCCACCACGACGGACGAACGGCGTGCCAACCAACCCGTCCACCACATCAACTGGGCAGCCAAGCAAAGCCGCCACAACAGCCAGACAGAATCCCCACTTCCTTGCTGTCATCTCTCTCTTCGCGTCTACTGTGTGGAAGAGCTGAGCAGTCGCCGCGCGTAACCGCGCTGGTTTGGCGTCGTCAAGAACGGTCGGTGGGGAGTGACATCTCTGCGGAGGCGTTGTTGCGTTCTCACAGTTTTGTTTTCGCAGGGACTGCACGACTGCACGACGTATGTCGGCGGAACACGGGTTTTGATGCGGCCGCTGGTAGGGAAGCCACGTAGGGGAGCCACGCGGACCCAGCACCGCCGCACAGGCGCGGTGTTGAATACATTGATATGTGGGCTCTTCGAACAATCTCGGCGAAAACAGCTCGATAGGAACACCTGAGTGAGAGGTTGGGCATGGGGTCGGTTCGAGGACCCCTCAAACAGCGGTATCGAGAGAAAATAACAACGGCCGTGATGACAAGATGGCGCTGAGCTTCTTGAAAGATAGAGATGAGAATGCGGTGCTCGGCAACCTTGGCGCCTTTACGGGTGGGGGTGTTATGGGCCAATCTGTCCAGGTGATACGAACTGTATGCTGTACAAATCGATGCACCAAACCCTGATAATGTCGGAAATCTGCTGTTCCGCCTGTAAAGCAGTGCATTAGACTACACACATGTCGACCATAGGTGAAGAACATGTGTCGCGGTCGCCGTGCGCCACCATTCCGGGGCTGTGGTAGACGGTCACCTGGCCTAATCCTGCGAGTTTCAATGTTGATCTAGGATGGTTGTGTTCTCGGTGTGGTATGACTTGAGACTGTACAAACACCTGCCGAAGGCAGCAGTATTTGCGTATCATTAAAGACACATTTCGCGCGAAGCGCGAGATAATATAGGGATTCCACCTAAAAAACGCACGAAAAAACGTGTTTGGAATAACGCGTTTCAGAAAGTGACGGTTGAAAAATCGTGTTTCGCTGTCTCCCCGCTATCAACAGTGCCGGTTGGAACTCCCCCCCGTGCTCTTGATATTTTTTCGGACATCAGGCCCTTGTTTATGGTTTCCAAATGTTTATCTTCCTTTCTTTCGACAAATGTTGACTTTTTCGACCTTTTGGGCAGTCTGCCTCCCGAACGAGTGCGAATCAGCTGTTCGACCTTTAAGAACAGTCACAGCTTTGGCTGAGATGTCTACAGATCGCCTACATGTTTCGCCAGGGTTCACGTTTGATTTTTTTCCAGCAGAGCAAGATGTTGACGATTCGGCCGAAAGGCCACCTCGGAGCAAATCTTGGGCCAAGATCTGTCCAAAAGCTGGTGTTGGAAAAATCTTGCGTGAAAATTGCGCACCTTGAAAAACTCAAACGTGGACCCTGGCGAAACATGTAGGCGATCTGTAGAGATCTCAGCCAAAGCTGTGACTGCTCTCAAAGGTCGAACAGCTGATTCGCCCTCGTTCGGGAGGCAGACTGCCCAAAAGGTCGAAAAAGTCAACATTTGTCGAAAGAAAGGAAGATAAAGATTTGGAAACCATAAACAAGGGCCTCAGTACCCCTTCTTTTTTTTTAATTTCCGCAAACACGGAACAACACGCGGCGGCGTGATTTGGCGTGATGTTGGCACGCGCGTTGACGTCCTGAAGCAAATGGCGCGCCTACAGCGTGGTAAGATTCGGCATGAGAGGCATGGCCAAATCATGCAGATGATTACAGCGGCTCTGCTGTGTGCAGTGGCTGGAGAGGAGGAGCTTTTCCTCGTCCTGGCGGTAGTGGCAATGCGGCAACTCCAATGCGTTCCCAACTCAAACCACGCTCCCAACTCGAACACGCCGCCGGGTGAACTGCTGTGCTAACCCTGAATCCTAAGCACTTGACCGCTGGTGTGACTGATGACTCGCCACCTCCCTCAAGGGGCGGGGATGCACACGAAGTCCGCCGTAGGAGAGGCGGCTACCGCGGTCACTGGTGCGAGTGAAACGCTGTCCCAACCACGCCCACCACGCACGCCCCCAGCACGTTCTTGTAAACACAAACGTTCACCGAAAATGACCCCAACGCGGGCCGGTTCCACACCAGTTGCCTCAGGGATTGATAGCTTTGCTCTCGGAGTACGTGTCGTGCGGTAAGGTGGATGTGTGCGTGTGCGCGCATGAAGTTTGTTTCTTTTAAACGCGGAAGAAAAAACGCACCAAATGGAAAAAAAAACAGACGAGCTGGACTGCAGAAATTCGTACGAAAAGGCGTGGCGGAACCTCGAAACACGTTTTTTTGGCGAAACACGTTTTTTTCGTGCGATTTTTCCCGAGGTGGAATCCGCCTCAATATATATAATAATGTTTGAGTATGTTTACATTTGCATCCCGGAGACCTCGAAGTGTCACGTCCGGCTGACCCGAATAGATTCTTGAGCAAAATCTGGCTGACTTCTTCTTCTTACCAACTCTGTGTCACAGATTGCCTATCTTGCCACTCCCTTTCCTCACATGTTGCTTCTGGCCATCCACCATCCTAAAACACTACCACCACTGTAGATTAGGCTACTGCTGCACATACTCTAGAGGGGATCAAAAACAAACAGTGTCTCGTGCCGCTCTAAGGGGCTGCATTTCTCCCCCTCTTTGTGGGTTAGGAGTGATTCCCTAACATATTTTTAAGACCGCAAGGGACTCCACATCTTTTTTAGTTAGCTGTGTGTGGCGAACACCTGGGGTTACTTGTGAATCATCCTCCCGTGGTGGACTTCCCGACCCTCTCCTCTTAGTCTGTAGCTGTATCTGCTACGTGAGCACCCACGCCCCAACGGTGGCATCTTCATCCGCACTTTACCGCTCCAGAACAGCACCCCAAAGCTATGCGCGCTTTCGTCGGCGTGCGGTGTAGTTTTCCCGGAGCAGGCAATCCCGTTCTTGTTGGGATGCCTCTACCTCGACGTGTACATTGATATACTTCGTGTCTTTCTGTGTCTTCCCAATTCCTTGATTTCCGTCCAAATCTTGAAACCATCTTTGTTTTTGAAAGACCCGTTCTTTTTGACGGGCCGCAGCTGAAGGTGCACAATCGGTGACAATGTTTTTAACCGACGAACGCTGCTGACATTTCCTGGATTTGCTACTCCCAGCGATGTACATAGAGTAGTCCGGAGCATTATCAAAGTTTTCAGCCTGGTGGGAATCGCATGAACTAGCACTTTTGAACACCCTCCTCCCGCCAGCACTCGGAGGTGGCGGCTGTGTAAATGTTTACGTGTACATGGTGTCAACTGTTGTCAAGTGTGTGAAGCGCAGCTCTGTGCCGCAATACCTACTTGAAATGTCTACCCTGTGGTAAAGCGGTGTCCACAGTCTCCGCGTGGAGCTGTGCAATGTAAATATCATGATTGTGTTTTGTTTGACATCATATTCCAAACGCGGCGCGCACCAGCACGCTGACTAGCACTTCGCGCGCTTATGTATTAGTACTTCAGTACCAGATGAGCCCAGAAACTCGGTTGGTCGTTTTATCGTCGTAGTAGAGTAGGGTATGACCCAATAGGCGACGTTGCAAATCCCTAATGCGAAAATTTTCTGGTAGCATAATTTACTTGGTGCTTCATGACTCGGGGACAAAAGGGAAAGCCTGTACAGCAGTAGTGTGGTTTGCTGAAGAACTATGCTTGTCTCAATCGCGTGTGCGTTCCAACAGAAAGCCCTGGAGATCTACAGGAAAGACCAGGAATCCCACCATGAGCAGTCCATCGCCAGCGATCTCACGAGGGGTCTCCTTCGGAAGGTCTTCAGAGACACGGTGCTCGATTCTTCCAAACAGGTGCCTCGTAGTCATAGACACGACCTTGTTTGGCAGTTGATGACAGCTTGTTTACTCCGCTCGAGGCATGACCGAGAAGCTGTACTGCTTCTGTCGAAGACGTTTTCAAGACAGAATATTACGTCTTGTCGAGTGTCTCAAAGCTGATGGTGCTCACACACAACACAGGTTATGTTCGGTGCGCGAGAGGACAGCAGTGGCAGGTGTAATCCACAGAGTATGCATTGCCAAGAAATGGAGTAAAAATTATTCTCCACACCCTGCCCAAAGACAAGTGTCGAAGACAGCAGTGCTTTAAATACCTCCCATAAAACCACTTGTCTTCCTGTAACTCGAGTGCCAAGTCCCAAGTTGTCTGTAGGCTCGAGAACAAGATAATGTGGGTGAAATTTAGGCAAGAGAGGTGGGTTTAGGGTCACATGAGATACATACAGAGGGATTATACATGCTAAACCGACGCGCGTGGGATAGCTCCGTCCGCTGCTCACATCTCGACAAGGCCCGGTATTGATAAAAATCTTTCCGACACAATCAATTGGTGGATCGTCAAGGTTAAACGCAAGTACAGCTACAGTGCTGTCGGCAGCACTGTTCAGGAGGACATCGAGGCGGCGAATGTGGGGATTATGGCCAAGCTCAAGAAGCTTCAGAAGGAAAGACTGATCGTGGCGCGGCTAGGCTTTCCCGACAAAGCCATGGAGATCGATGAGCACATCGAAAAAATACGCGCGGATCTCAGGGTGAGGTCGCTTCGTTCCGGGTCTATTCACAAGCAGAAAGCTGTGTTGCCGTAGGCTACATAGAAAATTTGATGGGTTAGGCGTCGTTTGTACACTACTGCGGAGCTCACTTTCTCTTTTTTTTGTGGTCCTCTGATGGACTGTCTGAATTTCAATTCGGGACGCTGGCAATCACGAAAACCTTTATCATGCTGGTTCGATTTGTGCGGTTGCACGTGTCTTGCTTGTTTCTCGTTTGCCTGTTGGGTACATCACACCCGCTCTGGAATGGCAACATGCGTCGTCAGAGCGAGCGCGAAAAGGTGGACTCGAGGATTCTCGAGGAGGAGTTGGCGGCACTAGCCATCCAGCACCGTGAAAAGCTGACTAGCCTTGAACAAGAGCTTAAGGAAGACGAGCAAAAAGTCAGCAGGTCGTTCGAGCGGGAAAGGGTACGTGGAGAAACCAAAATACTCCACGTTGTTCAAGGGCCGTTGGCCTCTACTCTACTGCCTTCAAGCCGAGAGTCGTGGCCTGGGTGTAGTGCGCGCGATT